TCATACATCAAAAATACTTTCAGACTTCTAGTCTAGACTCCTCTGCCCTTAAAAGTTACTTCTGGTGCTATCAAAAAGTACTTGTCATCAGTAGTCTACTTGAAAAGACTATGCTTTCTGAATTGCTGCAGCAGTAGAACCGATTAAACCCTTTTTTTTCCCTTTCTTTTAATGTTACCCCTGACTCAACTTATTCTGAAAACATGTTCTCCCATTTATATAAGCTTTCAGAGGTTTGCTTAATCACACCCTGAGAATGTTATTTAGACATTCTGATTCATCATCAGAGGGGATGTTAAATAAATCAGCCTCGTAGTATTGTGCAAGCAGTGCAACAAAGGTAAAAAATCATTGTGCCTACACTGCTGGGATAGATAAAGGCTCATTACCCTGTAGATTTACTAGGAACCGATGTCAGATGGTGTGTTTTCAGGAAAGCCAGTGTAATGTCCATGATCATAATAATGCAAAGACCCTCAAAAAAGGGGTTAAGAAAGGAGCAGATCCTATACTAAATTTAAAAAGTTACTTTATTAATGCCCAATTAATGTCCTTAGGCATTTTAACTTCTTAACATTTATATATAGGCCTGTTAAATAATGCCAAACAAGACAAAATCAATGTTTTTATTTATAATTCATGGTATTTCTATGTTATTAAGCACTGTGCCCCAGTTTTATGTTGGCACATGGTAACAAAAAAACACACCTGACTGGAAAAATTCAAACAGAATCATGAATAGGAAAATTTCAGGTTTTCTAATAACAAATCCTATTTTGATGACTATCTCCATGATGTAGAAGTAATTCAAAGAAAATCAAATGGTGTGATTTTGTATCTGGTGAACCAGTTTGTTTGGGAGTTATGTAATTTGAAAGGAGTCTCTTGAAAACAGGAATAATAATAACCGATGAATTTTTGAAGTGGGTGTGTGCTCAGGACTAACCTACCAATAAAAATTTAAGCATTGTGAAAAAAAACGTAGTTATAACACCTCCCGTTCTCTGTGCAACCCGTTCTCCCTACCAATTGTGATGTTTCCTCTGGAAGATTTTCCGGCTTTTGTGGGTGCAGAGAATAATGCAGACCTTTATTTATAATGAATCAATATAGGGAAAGTTTAAAATACAGATTTCTTATCAGATAAGCAATTTTTCAGAAGCAGAGTCAAATATATATTAAAAACTATAGAAAAATAATAGATTTTGCTTGCATATTGGTTAGGGCCCTTGGCAGAATATTGCAAAGAAATTTGTGTTGTGTCTGTTTTAACACATACTTAGGTATGTAAGCATGGCAAAGTATTGTTCCCACAAAACCACTTTTGAGCTCTGAGTGGGTCTGGACTTCTGTAGGTTTCTCTTCACTTTTTCTGCCCTCTTGTTAGTATTTTCTGAGGGGTGTTTTTGTGGGTTTTTTTGTCCTTTATTGAAATTAGTAAAAAGAATTCAAATATTGCCATTGGAATAATTTGTTGGAAATTTGTTTTTTAATGAGTTATATTATCTGAAAAATGTTGTGTGTGTGCTGAGGAAATAAATATCAAGATATTACTATCCACAAAGCTTTTTTCTACCAACCGTGTGAGCAAGGAAAAGTAGATTAGATAAATTTGGGTTTTTTTTTTCTTTTATCTTCTCTATTTAAGCTTTCTCACCCAAAGAAGGTGACTATTTGCGAGGCTTGCTGAAGCATGTTTAAGTCCAGCAGTTGACTGCAAAACGTTCCTGTGTGTGTTCATTCTCCTCCTACTTTATGTTCTATTATCACAAAACTGTAATACTTTGAGCTTAATCAACACCTAATGGCAGATGCAGGACTTCACCCACCCATTCTGGGTTGAGATGAGAGTCCTTAGCCAGGTGCACAGGGTGCTCTGAATTTAATGGTTTTCCGAGAATGCCATTTAAGCTATTTACTAAATCAGTTATAAAAAGCCACTAAACTGTAATTCAAGTTACTCCTCCCCTCCCCCCTCCATGTATGTACCTTAAGTTAATCTTAAATATCAGAATGGACTCTTCTGTCTGCTGCTTGAAACTAATTTGAGGGATGAGGTCATGGATTGGTATTATTCTTTGCCTCAAATGCATGTTAAGACTAACAGCTGTAGTTTCAGTTTTTATCTAGTTCATCACTAAAATAGCTTTAGTGTTAATTAAGAAACCTCCATTGTAAGAGTGCTTTGTATAAACTGAGGCATCTGTGACCTAAACCATTGTTTGTAGAGAGAAATGAAAATACTAAAATTTTGATGAATATATAAAAATGATTAAGAGGATCTGACAAATAACTGGTTATAAACAATACCTAATTTCAAATATGTTAACTTTTTTAGATTTATTCAGATCATGTGGCATTTGTTCATGATAGTTTTTAATGTATTGCTATAAACTTTTCTTCTTTTTTTTTCAAACTGTTTTCCTAGTTTCTTATGAGCAACCACAGAGAAATCTACCACCCCACTACCAAGATCTCTCCAAGTCATGTCAACATCGTAGCACATTGAAAAAGTAATCTCAGCATTGGCCCAAGATTATTCTTTGGAAGTTGTACATCATGTAAATATATAATGACATATATTCTCCATCTGCTAAAGTATTCCTCTTAATGGGCTTACAATGGCAATCATTTGTCTTTTCAAATTATTTTGAAGGGAGTCTAGAATGTTTGTCGCCAGTGCCTTCCTCATTCCCCTCAACAACAGCAACAAAAAGTAGAACCTTTCTAACATTGGGGTCTTGGTTCTTAATTTTCTCCTTAAGTAATGGCCTGACGCTGGAGCCCAAGAATGTTGGCAGGGAAACTGTAAGCCATATTTCTACTCAGTTGCAGTCTGAAGTTGGAGGTTGAAGAAAGAACTCGGCACATGTAGTGGACTCCAATTCTTGGAGGACATCAAAGAGAGAATTTCAAGTCATTTCTTGTACAAATTAGCATACAGTCATTTCAGCCTTTCTAAATGAAATTTTTAATCTTCAAAAAAATGATAAGTGTGTGACTATGGCTTATCCTTGGGAGTTTAAGATAATTACAATAGGGTATGGTTATTCAGGGTGAATATGAATTGATTTCTGAAGGAAAGTTCTTATAAATCTGCAGTCTTCAAAGCCAGTTTTTTTGCACATGTATTTTACTAAAAATTTTTTTTATATTCATGTGGTTTATTTCAAGTGTTAATGGATCAGCTATTTGCATTCCCTTATATATTATATAAGAACTACCTGAGGAAAATCTGTCTTCTAGAAAGTAAGTTTACACTGGTGTTGCCTGCCCCCTTTGTAGTTATCACTGTCTGGTAAACAGCACCATACCTCAGGTACGGCTCTCCCAGTTCACCCCACTCACATAAGGCTGCTGCAAAGTCAGTGAGAGAGAGAGAGAGAGAGAATGAGGCTTTAGGTCTTCCTGATTCTTCGTTCTCTGATGTCTGTGACATGAGTCTTCTGATCTGATTAGTGCAGCCATTGCATCTGCTACGTGTCTGCTCAGGCCTTTTTACCCATCCTTCAGTATTCTTCATTAAAGGACTTTTTTTACTTCACCCCACACTGGTCACCTTTCTCCAGTCCCTTTGGAATATATGTTCTGTTCCAAAAAATGTACTTTTTAATGTTGAATTGTAAATTCTTTTGTTCACAAGTCAGTTTCCTCTTCTGTGTGTGTGTGTGTTTTGAATCTCCATGATGTTAATTTAAGTTACTGTGGCTGTGGGCTACTTGCAGTTGTTGTTTCAAGCTCTCCCCATCCCCTCCCCACCCTCTTCCCACCCCCTCATAACCCCGATTACACTGTTAAACACAAAATAAGGACTTCATCTAAGTGTTTGGTGGTTGATAGTTAAAAGGATGAAAGGGAAGTGTCAGCCAGGAGTTAGGTATTTGTTAGCTTCTGGTAAATATAGTAGCAAAAATTTTCTCTTCCTCTACTCCTCTGATTTTATCACAGAAAGCAGTACTGAATTGTTCCAGAGAAGTTAATTTAATACTTACTTAAAAGGACAGTACTAGGCACTATTGCAAATACATATTTAAATACCTTTTGCTGGCCCCAGGAAAGAGATTGGGCTCATCTATCTTTTAGCCCTTTTATGGCAGATGAGAAAGTAAAGTTTAAGGAAAACAGATGTTTGATAATCTAAGTTGCCCCAAGTTACCATTTAAAAAAAATGCCTGCAAGCATTTCTAAAACAGGAGCCTAGTGGCTACAGTTGCCAGACCGGTTTAACAACACTGCCTCCACGTATTCTGGGTGAGAGGGAGCTCCGAGTGCATAAACTTATCAGAGATCACTATCCCAGTCATCTCAGAACAAGTTGTTTGGTAATGTACTGTAGTTTCTGTGCAAACCATCTACCATAAACCACAAAGTGATTCAAGGTTCACAGTTCCTTCTTTGTTCCTTTGTTAATCACTGACTTCTGACTAGTGGGAGGTGCCTCCCAAATTTGCTAATGCATTCTTTTTGGGTAAGGATGACGCACAGATTGTCCTAATAAGGACTTCTATTGGGAAAGGACCGCCCCCTCTGAGAAGATGGGACAAGTCAGAGAGAGGGCGGGCAGTTTCTTTTTCAACTAGGGATGACACAAGCATAAGTCATTTCCTTATTAATCGGTTCAAACCAGTTCTTACAGGAACTGGTGGTGATAAATGTGGGACTTCTCAGAAGTCATTCATTTTATTCTTTGTACCAAAGCAGTGTGCGGTATCAGCTGAGCTGGCCTCACTCCGAGGATGAACTCTTCTGCTACCCTTTGCTTTCCCCAAACATACTGGTGGGAGAGATGTTTCTCTGTTAAATGGTTGTTAAAGGGTGAATTTTATCCACTAAAAAGAGTTCACAGGATTTTGCAGCTCTGCTGATTGTTACATTTTTTTCCTCTTTCTATCCAATTCCTGCTTTTTGAGTCAGGCGGTAAGTGGATTTTTCTTTAACATTTTTCCTGCTTTTCTCCCCAAATGTATCTTTTCCCTTGGGTTATTGTACCCTGCTTCCAGTGCTGTCCCGGGCATAGGTCCATCTCTACAGAAGCCGTTCCAGGAGTACCTGGAAGCCCAGCGGCAGAAGCTCCACCACAGAAGCGAGCTGGGCACACCACAGGTGAGACTTCCCTTGGTTTTCCTCTCTGCCCCAGCCCCAGATTCAGGCCAGTGTTACCCTCCCAGCACTCACTCACTGGCATTTTTAGGCAAATAGAGTAAGGTTTATCTGTTCAACAGAAGTTGAGCCTCTGTTTACTTTCTACTGGAAAATTTGTTTAAATTAGAAAACGTAACTTCTATTTTGTACATCTTGCAAAAAACAAGGGTAGGGCTAATGGAAAATGCTGGATCTGTTAGAATGAGGTTATTACCTTGATCGTAAATAATTTGTTAGCAAGTGTATTTCCCAAGTAGATTAAAAAATTAAAGTTTCTAGCATAACAAAGTACTGGACTTACTGAGGCCACTTGAGTATTTCCCTTCATTTATGGTCTATTGTTCTTGTCAGAGATTGGAAAATAGTGTTTTGTTTTTTCAATAAACCAAGGCTCTTAACATAGCTGAACTTAAAAACTTAAACTAAACTTGCCTTTGCTGTAAACAGTTCTGTGGCAAAGGGAAATGACCAGAAGAGGATGAGTAAGCAATAACCTGAAATGGAAAACTTGAAGGAAGCAGAGTTGGGTTTGGGTTTTGTTTTTGTTTTTTGATGGCTTTACACTCTTTATGTGGCCCTTTGCTGCCCTCAGCTGACCAAACATGACTTCAGAAATAGATAAAATTTATATTTTAAAGCTACTCCCAGTACTGGAACAAGAATAAACTCTCTTGACACTGTCAACAAGTATCTATGTAGTGACCTCGGATAGGAGAATTTAATTAAAAACTTTATTCTTGTGTAGTAAAAGACAAGAGATGACCTCACACTTGCCCTGTTGAAAACTGCATCGACCAACATGTACTTTACATCTTAATAACTGGGTGTAAAAAGGCCTGATTTCAGAGTGTTGGAGAATGAGACTTTTCACTTTTAATTGTTTAGGCTTTATAGGTTAGAAGCCCCCAAGTTCTCATTATTTCCCTTGAAACATCGTAGATGATCCCCTTTTTACTACTGCACTAATGAAACGTTTCTCATGGATTGTTTTTCATTTATTCCTGCAGGGAGAAAACTGGTTGTCCTGGGTGTTTGAGAAGTTGGTCGTTGTAATGGTGTGTTACTTCATCCTGTCCATCATTAACTCCATGGCACAAAGCTATGCCAAACGAATCCAACAGCGGTTGAATTCAGAGGAGAAAACTAAATAAGCAGAAGAGGTTCTAAGGGCAGATATTAGAACAGATGGGTTCTACCTTAAATTGGGAGGACTCCAAACCAGGAAGGAAATGTCCCTTTTCCAACCTGTATTGATTTAATTTTTTGTTTTTCCAAAAGGAGTTTAGTCCATACTTTGCACTACATACTTTTTCTTTGTGTGTTAAGGTAAGGTATCCACCCTCAATTCAATCCAAGTTGTATTTTATTGGGGTGGAATGTGATGTTCAGCAGCAAATTTAACAGAAACTGGCCTTCTAATTCTTTACTTTCAAAAGGTCCATGTGGTACAACTAAAGAATTCCAGACACCAAAAAAATAGTTCCTAAGTATGTTCAGTATGTCAAGCTTTTAGGCTTGTCATAAATGACTGCTTTGTTTTTCTAAGTCATCAAAATGTATATAAATTACACTAGATTGGATAACAGTCTTGCATGTCTACCATGGTAAAATTAAACATGCCATCCTGCCCAGCCCTTCCTCTTCCACCTTTAAAAAACTGTTTTATGATGCATTGCACACCCTCTTGGGAAAGTGATCTTTAAATTTTGAGACAGTATAAGGAAAATCTTGTTGGTGTCTCACAAATGAGATAACACCATTTTTTATTCTGTATATTTAGAATGAAGTTATGAGAAAACTTTATAAAAGACATCTTTGATCATTCCAGAATTGTGTCCGTTTTCTTGAGCGTTCTGGTTTATGTATGTAACCTGATTTTCTTGCCTTTCTTAAGTAAGCGTTTTGTTCTTACATGGCTTTCCTTGGATGTTTCTGGTTGAACGTGGTCATTTAGTTTTGCTGAGAGGAAAATAAACAATTTCACTTTTTTCCTTTAGGAAAATTGGTACTGACATTATGTTGAGGGTAGAATTGGGTTTAAATCTCAACAGACCAGAAATGCCTGATTTGTTTTATCAAATCCTGCCTGAATGTGTGCTTGTTTTGCCTCCCGTCGTGACATCTTCATGGCTGTACCACCTTGTCGGGTAGCTTATCAGACTGATGTTGACTGTTGAATCTCATGGCAACAGCAGTCGATGGGCTGTCTGACATTTTGGTATCTTTCATCTGACCATCCATGTCAAATGTTCCCATTCAAACATTACATGGTTTATGATAAATAGCTTCATGGTTTATGATCAAATAAAGCCTCTGGTCCTTAAGTCTAACGGCACTTCGAATCTTTTATGCCATGGTATTGCAGTAGTATTGAGAGGATTTTATGGGAAATTGAGATAGTTCTCTTGACTACAGTTAAATAAAGGACAAGCAACCCACCTTGTAGATTTTGAAAAGGTTATTAACATCTTAACAATTTTTTTTTCCTGCCCAGGAACTATCTGGCAGTGTGACTGTTACCTTACTTGAAAAGTAGTACCCAAATGCTTAAAGTAGATTCACGCTAACCAGCATGACTTACAGATCTTCAGGGTCAGCATAAGTTTCTAAATCAGCCTCCAATTGTGTTTCATCTCCTTTACCTGCATCTTATTTGTTGTTTGAAGAAAAGAGGAAGGCAGATATGAATTGGACTCATATCAAGTCTTTGGGATTTATTGGTAAATTTATTTCAGGGGAGGGTATTGGAAAAATAAAACTTTTGTTCCTTACACTGAAGGTCTAAAGGATTAATATATTTGACATGATGAGGGTTTGTTCACTCTTTGAAATGAATTGGCTTTGGCAACAAATTAGAGCAACTCCCGTCCGTTAAGTGTTCAGATGATCCTGTGGGATCCAGCTGGAGCAGTGCGCTGCCCTCCTGTTCTCGTGGCTTGCTGCTTGGTTCATTGTCCACCACAGTGGACGCAAATAAGTACATGGTCCCAGAGACATACCTAGTTAATTCCAGCTGATGGGAGACCAGAAAATTGTAAATGGATGGTTTGATATTACTGCAAGTAAAAAAAGGACCTGAAAATTCTTATTCCATCTCTAAGTCATTTTGTGCCTTAAATAGCATTTTACCATGTCTCAATCTAGTGACTATAAAAGCAGTGCGATACATCAGCAATTTATACACTTAAGTATTAAGCACCTCCCTTAAAACAATCAGCACGATCTGGAAACGTGAAGTATTTTCTGTATTCTCTGTATACATAAAATGGAATGTGGGGCTTGAAAGAATGGGAGATTTTTAACTTTAATTTAGATAATGGGCCACTATCTCCATTCTCTAAAAATCCACAAAGACAAGACTAGAGTGAAGTTTCTGGAACACACAAGTTGAGTGTACTCAGTAGTGGGTATTCTTACACAAACAAGCTCAGTCCATGTTCCCATTGTGCTCTGCTCTCTAGCTTTAGGGTATCATGAGGTTTGTCTCTTCACTAGTCAACAGTGATGCCTCTAGGAAAAGCAATTCATTAAACTAAATAAAATGGTAAATTGACATCTTTGGATCTTGAGTGACATGTTTTGACTGATGATGTGTAAAGAATTAGGAATTTCCAGTCTTTCAGTGTTGGAGGCATATATTGCCTCCGTGTGCAATAGTCTGTTTTTTATGGCTTAGACTTCTGCCTCTATCATGTTTGACCTTCAGAAAGTTTTTAACTCTGAACCCAAATTTCATCTAGAAAAATAGAGCCAGGTTGTTAAAGCCTAATCAGGTAAAATGCAACATTTTAATGCAGTGATGTGTATTCCCAAATTTTAATTCATCAAAGAACCTTGGATACACACACAAAAATGTTACAGCATTGCATTTACTCCAAACACAAAAGGTTTTTAAATGCTCAGCATACGTACCCTTGTTTTGGAGTACACTGTCTAAAGAAGTTAAAACATTTGCAATAGAGATTAACAGAAAAGTAGAAATGAATGAATGACTTGATTAATAAGACCAAAACCTTTTTAAATCTAAGTGAGCTCCAGCTACCCTACTTAAAGTATGAAGCACAGATACACAAAATTTACTGTGAAATAAGTAAAAATATTTTTCTAACCTTCCCACCTTAAAATTATATTTTCTAATTAATTTTTATTATAAAGGTGGTTGATACTTAAAAAATCTGGAAGATGGGGAAGGGAGGAGGAAAACCAGCTTTTAATACCTTGGTAGGAATGCTCTATCCAGTGATATTTGCTGGGTATACATTGGTTTGAAGCAGTTTTTTTTTTTTTTTTACATGGTGTACAAATTCCTACATGGTGAGTAAGTTCCTACATGGTGAACAGTACAAGGGCAGTCGCAGAAACTTTCGGTTCCGATCACGCATCATGAACTATAAACAATCAGGTCAAATATGAATATTTGTTTGATTTTTATACTTGATTTATATGTGAATCCCACGTTTCTCCCTTATTATTTTTAATAAAATGCTGAAGTGGTAGGTGGATGCAAGATAAAGGTAGAAAACATAGTTTAGTGCTGTAAGAAAGCAAATGTAGTAGATGATCAGGTGTGTGCCTATAAGCTAAGTATTAATCCAAGCTAGACAAGGGCAACAAAACATCCAAGGATGCAGATTTCTCTCAAAACGGGGGGTGAGGTTCTAAGCCTCACCTCTGTTGATCCCTAATTTCTCACCTGATGGCCCCCCTGCGACTGTGCCTGTCTTAGGTTGTTCCTCCCTTGAGGAATCTTACCCGTCTCTGGCTAACCAGTCATCTTCCAGGGCCATACAGGGAAATGTAAAGTTGGTAAGTGAGAGAGAAGCAATATTGTTTGAAAAGGTTAGTGAAGCAGTTTTTTTAAGCTGATTTGATGGCATGCTTCCTCAGTAGACTGAAAAATCTCATTCCTATTAGAAAAAAAAGATTAGTTCATTTGATAGTTATTAACGTGCTCACAAAAAGTTACCCTAAGTAGGAATTGAATAGCCATTTTTGAAAGCCAAGGAACATTCTCTACACTGATCAAAGCTGCTCTGGTATCCACAAATCATGGCAAATGAAATGCTATACAAAATGCTTGCATCTGAAGTGTTTTGTTCCTTTATTCTCAAAAACAACAAGAAAAGAAAGCACATAATGTCCTTAAAAATTGTAGAAGCAATTGAGTCATTTGTGTCTGGTAGTCAGGGTCTTGGGGTCCTGTCCCTCCCTTCCCAAAAAGGCCAAGAGTTCACCTGTGGTAATGTGTTTTGCCTTGGAGGGTGAGGCTTTGAATTGCAGCAAATAACCCACATGTATTTGCATATTTAACCAGTACTCATAAGGGATTATAACAAACCTGTTTGGGACAGCTGCTTACTCACTGCCTTTAGAATTGTGTGGTGCTGGGATAGGCAGGTGCCAACGGTTTGCTCATTCTCTTTGACCTACTAGCCTTGCAGTTTGCTGTATGGGTGTTGATACTACTAAATTAAAAGAAAAAATTTGTTTTAGATGGCTCTCAGTCTCCACCCAAACACCCTGGATTCATTTGAGATCTGGGATTCTAATTCTGTAGTTGGGAGACTGGCCCAAATTGGTGCCCAGAGTGAGTGAGTCAGTTGTAAGTGGCTGGCTGAATCTATGGGAACAGAAATGAAATGCAGCTTAGAGGGTTTGTCAGCCAAATCCACAAATGTGTGGCTTTTTGAAACTTTGGACATCTGTTCCTCCTCATTTAAAATAAACTCTTTAAAAAAGCAAAAAGTTGCTTGGCTCCTTATTTCTTTGAGCTGGAAGCAGTTGCTGCTCTAACTTAGGAAGCCTAAAGTCAGAGTTAGAAAATTTGGACTCTTTAGGGCACACTTCAGAGAGGGTGGAACTGCATTGCTTTGGAAAGGAAAGATGATTTTCCAGTATAGGGTTTGTTTGGAAATCCCCTTCAGGGATAATCAGTCCAGGTGTTCAACCCATTTGTTAACCATTTCCAGATGACTCAAAGGACATGGAAGGGGGGCTTGGATGCGCTCCAGCACTATTTCTACAATGTAGTCTCTATTTGCATTGGCAACCACATTCCTGAATTCTTGAGAAGACTCTGGCTTATTCTGGGTATCTTTGACTAAGGGACCCCTGAGCCCACTATCTAAACTCACAGTCAGTCTTTTGAAAATTATCTACAACTTGTTTTGATGGCTTTCCACCCTAAGTCCTTTGAGGAAAAGCTTTGTTCATTCAGGAAGGCCCCTGTGGGCCACTTTTCTCTCCCCCCAACCTAATCCTAAATGAGGCATTTTCCTCTGTTGCCATCTCTCCCCTTTAGGGAACAGAACTTGAACAGTTTATTCCTTCAGGCCACTTTTGACTGGGCCAGGTGGATAACTTTGCTTAATTGTGTCCCAGTCTGTTTCCATGGGGAAAATTGTTTTTGTAGAGTGAGGCGGTTTGGGATTTGAAAAGAGGTGGTTCCGCCTTTCCTGAAGTTGGGGAGTGACTGTTGGGATTACTGTTGTCTTCCTTTGGCTCCTCACAGACTGTGTCAGAAACAAAGAGCAGCTCAGGTTCCCTCCTGGCAGTAGTGCTGAGCCCAGCGCACGTCACCCGAGAACCATGTTGTCCTCAACCTCTTTTCTGTGTTAAGATGAAAGCCAAAAATAATGAGAGGAGGCCTTTCTCTGCCTTTCATTTTTTAGTGCACCTCATAGCCCCTTGAGAGTCACTTTCACTTGGTGAAAGTCGTAAACCTTCTAGGCAGCCAAACTTTCTCTACCTAACCTCACCTTGTTTGGCCCACTTTCGAGACTTTTGGGACACCTCAGCTTCTTTCTGCCCACTGTGCCAGCCCCTTTCCACTCTGGTGAGCCCTCCGTGGTATATTGTTTGTACACAACCGTACAACACCAGCAGTCAAGATGAACTCCCAGGAACCTCCACTGCTGTGCCCTGTGCCAGGAAGCACATTACTGTACCTTGGAGAATGATTGTTCTCTTGCTTTGTGTCAGCACTGTTTTCAGGGCCGTTTTGTGTTGTTGTGTATTGTATTTAATCACTAAATCCTTACAACAACCCCAGGAGAAAACTGAGGTAGAAAGGTCCAGTCATTTGCTGGAGGAAGCAAGGAAGTAGCAGAGCGAGGATTCAAACCTAGGCGTTCTGGCTCTTGGCCACTCAGTTATGCAGAAAAGTCCAGTACAGAAGTCCAAGCTTCTGCATGCTTTTTTCCCCTGCATGCGTATTTCACCATGTGATCACAGGTAGGTGATGGAGAAAGGGAGACAACAGAAAATCAAGCCCCCAGCCTAAAAAAGGTTTACTGTCTTTGTGCTTCCTCATGTCACAGGGTTGGAAAAGCCAGCTCTGTTCTTAGCCATCCTGGGTGGGCAGGTTCCCAGAGTGGTGTTTGCTGTAATTAAGATTACAGAGCGATTTCCATTTGTACAGACCGTATTTCAAAGCATTTCCACATCTTGAATTTTATTTGATATTCCTAACAACCGTATGGAATGGTTAGGGTCGGTAGTGGCGTTAGCCACATTGGGAGAAAAACTTTTAATTCACCTTTTAAATCTCCACTGGTTTAAGTTATTGTGGAGAAGAGACGGAGCTGTTGATGAGTGATCTCCTTTCAAGGACTTGGTCTTTTAGGAGGAGTATGCACGTATGCAGACAGCCACAGTGTAGGGTGAGGTGAGCGCTGCGAGGGAGGAGGGAAATGGCTGACGAGGGGGGATCCGGGAAGCTTTGGTGAGGATGTGGCCTAGAATCGCCACTAGGGCTGGGGAGTGAGAAGTCCTGTGAGAGGCGCAGGGGGAGCACTAGGAGGGAGCTGTGTGCGTGCTGGGGGAAGGCAGACGGTGAGCCGCCCCCAGACGGCCCAGCTCCACCCCCGCTCCTCGCCGTGGCTCCATTGTTGAGGTACCAACATACTTCACAACTAGTTGGTCTATTGTTTGTGCTCTCTTTCCCTTACTAGGACATTCGCCCCAGAAGGGCAGGCACTGTTGGGGTCTTCACTGTGTGTCCAGAGCCAAGCACACGGCCTGGCACTTGGTAGGCTCACAGAATTTGCTGAATGAATATTGCAGCCAAGGTGAAGTAGCAGTGGACATTCCCAGGCAGGCAGGAGGCACTATCTAAGTAGCTAACAAGGAACTAGGCAAGGCTGGGGTAAAGCAGGTAGAGCAAGGGGGAAGAAGGAACCTCACCCTGAGAAGACAGCGATGCTGAAAGATCACTGAGCCAGGAGTGCAGGCGGAGCAGCAGGTCTGAGGATAGACACGATGCTCCTCTGCTTTGAACATAGTGGAGGGAAAATACCGATAGAAGGCCGGGGCGTTCCTTGGGTCTGTATCTCAGGTTTCCTAGCCCCCCACACTCCTAATCAATGTGCTATCCACCTAGACCACTGTAACGTCTCCCTGGCAGGGAATAAACTGAACTTTTCCAGAGAATACTCTAGAATAATAGGTTCTCTGTACTTTCTCGTAAGTGATCAGCTAAGCCTGAACTTGTGCAGCCCTCTTGAAACAGTGGCACTGTTACTGGACCTTGGGGCCACAGGAAACTGCTTTAAAATTCCTCTCCCCAGTTGCATCCTGCTTGCTTAACCAATGGCTCCTCCCCATGAGAACTGGGAGCGTGGTAATTCCTGGATAGATGGTCTGTCTTTATAAGGAGAAAAGTTTGGCAATGTGATTTCCTGTATATTTCCACTACAGTCCAGGATTGCAGAAGTGCTAGCCTGGACAGCAGTGGCAGCCACCTAGAGCCCAGATGTCATAAGTATTCTCCAGTAAGTACAAAGGCATCCTCCCAACTGCCTTTGCCAAGCCTAAAGGCAGAATCATGGCTTTATTACACCTTCTAGAGAATGTGGTCAAGGCGGCTTTCCATTTGGCTGCTTTGGTGCTGGGGTTGTTTACATGCTTCAGTAAATGGGTTATGCTTATTGAAGCTGGCTGGGTAGGAGTTCAGAATAAATGACATATGACCATAATTATACCACTCACCAGGAACACTGGAGTTCAGAGAGATTTACCCGTGTAATAATCCCTTGGTGGAGGAAAGAGGTAAGGACTTTAGTAATGCACACTCAGGTGGGTGCACAAGTTCTCAAAGCCTGGGAGAAATGGGGTGTCACTGTTCCTAGCTTTCTGTTGGAATCCCACATAGTGAGATACCTTCTGTTAAAGGCATGTGTTGGGGAGTGCTTTACACAATTTCAGAAGGGGAAAAAAAAGGGAAGCTGAAAAATAGTGCTTTTAGAAAAATGTAGAGATCAAAGAAATTTTCAGATGTTCTGCATTTTCTTCTTCAAGCGTAAAGAATCTGTGTGCATAAAAGACATCCCTGGTCTCTGCAAGGAAGAAGTAAAAGGTTCTTTCATACACTTTATATTCCTACCTCATCTGTTTTTTAGGCTGCTCCCAGTGTGTGTGTGTGTGTGTGTGTGTGTGTGTG